CTGCCAGCCTCCACAAGCTCCGAAGGCAGCACTCCACTCCCTGATGGTCCTGGCCCCATCCCTGCATCACACGCAGGTCCTTCATCCGAGTCCTCGCTCTCCGAGACCTCGGCCGCCCGCACCTGCTGCTGGTGAACCACAACACAGTGTCACCGCACAATGGACTCTGTGACACATGTGTGTTTCTAATTATACGCTTTCTCTCCCGCCAGTATTTCGAGGACAGGCTCATGGGGAACTGCTCTGCCGGAGCGACTGAGAATCAGACAGCCTTGAACCCCCAACCGGGGTCCGCCTGCAAAGACGAATTCAGCTTCAGTAACTGGCTGACCCTCCTTTCTCAGTTGCCTTTGCTGCTTTTCACCTTTCTCAACTCCATCCTCTACCGCTGGTGAGACACGTTTTTTCTCTCTCTCTATGTTTGGGTTGCTTTTCTCTCTGCGTTTGACTTGCCGGCTGCCTCTTGCCACGTTTCTCTCTTTCGGGCCTGATCAGTGAGAAGGATCCTTGCAGGATCCGATCTGGGTCGGTTTTACAGGGACCAGAGGTTTAGCCTTCTCAGCTTTCGGACTGATGCTCCTCAGGGAACTTCTCTCCAGCAGAATATGTGCTTTGGGCTATTCAGTGTGTAGTATTTATGGGGTGCCTGTGGTGTGTGGCTTTTTAGTTGTTGATAGCTGGCTATTAAGTCATTGTTTCCTTGTGCTCAGCTCTTAAATACTTGGTAAAGGTAAAGGTTCCCGTCGCACAAACGTGCTAGTCGTTTCCGGCTCTAGGGGACGCTGTTCATCTCCGTTACCAGGCCGACGAGCCAGCGCTGTCCGAAGACGTCTCCGTGGTCATGTGGCCGGCATGGCCGAAGGCGCACGGAACGCTGTTACCTTCCCACCAAAGGGGTCCCTAGTTTTCTACTTGCATTTTTTTACATGCTTTCGAACTGCTAGGTTGGCAGAAGCTGGGTTAAGTTAGTGGGAGCTCACTCCGTTACGTGGCACTAACGCCATGATGGCGAACCTATGGCACGTGTGCCACAAGTGGCACGCAGAGCCATTTGTGCTGGCACGCGAGCCGCAGGCAAACTTACCTCACTGCTCATGTGTGCGCCTCACAACTGATTTTTCAGCTGGTTTGAGGCTTTTTTCAGCCTCCCAGAGGCTTGGAAAAAGCCTCTGCAGGATTTGCAGGCCGAATAATAGGCCCGTTTCGTCACTTCCTGTAATTCCAGAAGTGATGAAACGGGCCTATTATTCGTCCTGAAAAGCCTTGCAGAGGCCTCAAACCAGCGGAAAAATCAGCTGTGAGGCACAGTGCAGGTAAGGGGGTGACGGGGAGATTGCGCATGCATGTGTGGGGGGGCGCATTGCATTTTGGGTGCTGACACATGAGTGGGCATGCGCTAATGCGTGTGCAATTTTTGGCACAGGAGCCCAAAAAGGTTAGCCACCACTGCGCTAGGGATTCGAACCGCCGAACAGCCGAGCTTTCTGATTGACAAGCTCAGCGTCTTAGCCACTGAGCCAACATGTCCCTATAAGGACTTGATAAGCTGACGGTAAAAAACAACACTCTTGTTGACTGGCGAAGGGCCCGTTTGCCAGGTTTCAATCCTTTCCCTGGCTGTTTTTGTCCCGGCTCAGCCAACAATCTTAGTTGCCACAAAATGGTATGTATGTCCTTCATTTTGCAAGGACCTTGCTTGCAAGCCTGGAAGGGTTTGAAGGGAAGGGAAGGGACAGGGTTAACTCACAACTCGCAGAATTGTTGTCATGGGGAAAATAGGAGGATGAAGGTGTGACGGATAATGATGATTGCTGCATTATGAGTTATTTGTAAAAAATTAAAAAAAGGTGGGATAGAAATAAATAAATATCTTCATGCCTTCTTTTTCCCCAGCAGGGAGATGTCTGTAAGCCAGCACTAACTTTCCGGCTATTCACATGTCCTTTTTTTCCTCCCTTCCAAAGCATTTCGGACAAAGTGCGCATTTTGGGCAGTTTGGCAGGAATTCTGTTCCTCTTTGTGCTGACCACCATCTTGGTTAAGGTGATGATGTCACCGCAGAGTTTCTTCTCCATCACCATGGCAAGCGTCTGGTTCATTAACTGTGAGTTGGCGCTGGTTCATTCCTCTGTAGCACTGATAATGTTACCTAGCTGGGTCATGAAACGTCTGTAAGAAAAACCCCAAGCACAGAAAAACACACCAAGGACCCCCTAATTCAGGGATCTCCAAACTTGGCAACTTTAAGACTTGTGGACTTCAACTCCCAGAATTCTCTAGCCAGCATAGCTGAGGAATTCTGGGAGTTGAAGTCCATAAGTCTTAAAGTTGCCAAGTTTGGAGATCTTTGCCCTAATTCCTCGCGGTTACATCTGAGATTTTGAGCTATGTCAGGGAACTCCATTCAAATCCTCATTTGCCCCACTCCACCCCCCCCCCCAAAAAAACCTCTTGGCAAGCTACCTCGCAGGGTTGTTGTGAGCTTGAGGACCAAGCAGGAGACCATACACCCATGATGGCAAACCTGGGGCTTGTGTGCCATTTGTGCTGGCACGCGAGCCCCGGGCAACCTTACCTCACTGTGCATGCACACACCTCCCAGCTGGTTTTCGGGCCTTTTTCAGCCTGCCAGAGGCTTGAGGGAAGCCTCTGCAGGCTGAAAAATAGGCCCATTTCATCACTTCCTGTATTTCCGGAAATACCAGAAGTGACAACGGGCTCATTTTTCGGCCTGCAAAGCCTGCAGAGGCTTCCCTCAAGCCTCTGGCAGGCCGGAAAAGGCCTCAAATGGGCCAAAAATCAGCTGGGAGGCACAGTGCAAGTAAGGGGGGGGTTAATTGCGTGCGCATGCGCAGGGGGCGGGGGACTGCACACATTGCCTTCTGGGTGCTGGCACGCAAGCATGTGCGTATAAGCACGCGCGCAATTTTTTGGCACAGGAGCCCCAAAAGGTTAGCCACCCTTGCCCTACACCATTTCTGACAGATGGGAGTCCAATCTCTTCTTGAAAGCCGCAAGTGATGGCGCTCCCACAACTTCCGAAGGCAACTTCTCATCCATGGGTGGATTGTTCTCACTGTCAGAAAGCTTCTCCTTATTTCCAGGTTGAACGGTCACTAAATGAACTGTTTTAAGTCAAAAACCAAATGGACACGAAACAGTCTCGTTCTTGACTTTGTCTTCCTTCATTCTCCTCAGCCTTCTGTGCCGTTCTGCAAGGGAGTCTTTTCGGCCTGCTGGGGTCTTTCCCGCAAAGATACAGCACCCTTTTTCTCAGCGGTCAAGGAATGGCGGGAACGTTTGCGGCCATCACCATGTTGCTTTCCTTGGCCAGTGAGTATCGGTGTGTGTGTGTGTAGTGTGTCTGAAAAGCACCTCATTTGAAAGAGCCGGGGAAGATCTTTCAAAGGGTAGAGAAGAGAACAGTCTGCCAATTGGGTGGGGGGACTGAAAATATCCCCACAGAAATATCCAAATAGAAAGCTTTTTTGGTCTGGGGAACTACCTGCCACAAGGAGGAAGAAGGACACCTGGCTCATATTATCATATGTGGGTTTGAGAAAAAACATGAAAGCTAGAAATATCTAATAGATTAGTGAAATAAGGAAAATATCTTAATAGCATTAAACATGGTAAAAAGAGAATGGTTATAACGATAGATATATTTACTAATAATAAGTGAAGATCTAAACATGTTATTGTTATAGTGTGAGAGATATTATGTATATTAATAATAAGATAACAATGGAGAACTAATATCAAAGTAATGAATATGGTAGTAATTTTGAATATTGTCGCACAAGATATCTGTACCCAGACAACACACCGTTAAATGGAAGATGAATTGTTTGTACTTATAAAAAAATAAAAAAACTTTTATAAAAAAGAAAAAAAGAGGAACAGTTCACAAAGATCTCCTCTGGCTCACGGGTTTAAGGTTCGCTTAGCCAACTGTTGAGAACATAGTGATTGCGTCCTGTGCCTGAAGAGTTACAAAACCTTGGATTTCTCTGCCAAAACACCATTTTCTCTTCTCTTTAGGTGACTTGGACCCACTGTCTTCTGCCCTGATCTATTTCGTTACCCCCTGTGTTGGGACCTTCGTTTCTATTGCCTGTTATCTCTTGCTGCCCCATCAGGTAAGATCCTTGGAATGGAATGGAATGGAATGGAATGGAATGGAATGGAATGGAATGGAATAGAATAGAATAGAATAGAATAGAATAGAATAGAATAGAATAGAATAGAATAGAAGAATTGGCCAAGTGTGACTGGACAAACAAGGAATTTGTCTTGGGAGGGGCAGTGCAGCCGCTTGCAAAACCGAAAGTGCATTCCATAAATGTTTTCAAAGATAGTAACTAGGTGACTGAAGTTTCTGCCAGGCAAAATTTCTAACTGGAGAGCATGATTGAGAATTCTTGGCTATGGAGGTGTCCCATTGGAGAATATGAATTACGATACACCCAGGGGGTGGGGGGGAAATCAGGGACAAGGGTGACAATGAATTATACGACTCAGAGTCGGCTATACCCAGGCAATGCTGGATCTTTTAACTCCCAATAAATCCTTTTGAAGTTTTGGAAGTTTGGCTCGAGACTCAGGATTTAAATGGGGTTAAGTGCTGGAATCCTGACATCCAGTTCCTGCAACTCTTCTTCATATGTTTTAGCCTCCAGCCCCCTAATCATCTTAGTTGCTCTTCTCTGCATGCTTCCCAGAGTCTCAACATCTTATTTATATTGTGGCAACCAAAACTGGGGGCGGTATTCCAAGTATGGCGTTAACCACGGCCTTATAAAGCAATTATAAAATTCCCCTGGTTCCCCAGGGAAATTTTTTCAAGTTTTAAGTCTGTGCTCAAGCTCTAGGATTTCCTGGTGGTGCTCCATCCAGCAAGAACCTTAGCTTAGCTTCTTGAGAACCTGATTTTGATCCGGAGCTCCCAGCAAACCAGGTGACCGTTGAGAGACTATTAACTCTTCTTTCTCTGCAGACCTTCACTCGTTACTATCTGGAGAAAAGACCACCAGGAGATTCGGGATGTGAATTGGAGACCAAGGCAGGCCTCCTTTCGCTAGGTGGGATATTTGAATTTATTTTTTTTAAATGGGGAGAATGGAAAAGTTGTCAAAAATCGAACCACTACTGGTGGTGGAGATATTTCATGCTCTTTTAATGTTTTGGTCCTGCAACCCTGGTTGGTCTCCAAATCGGTCTTTTCCCAGCCTGCTGATCTTCCAGTGCTGGACTCAGAATTCTGGGAAACGAAGTCCAAAAGACAAACGGGCTGATCTAAGAGAATTTGATGGTTTCTCCTCGCACCCCCAATATCCAAAATCTAACATCCGATATGGGTTGAAGGCTGAAAGCAATGTTTCTCAACCTTGGCAATTTTAATAAAGGCGGGCTTCATCTCCCAGAATTCCTCAGCCAGCTTGATTTAAAATGAGTGGACTTCAACTCCCAGAATTCTCCAGCCAGCATGCTTCATAATGGATGAACTTCAACTCCCAGAATTCCCCAGGCAGCATGCTTTATTCTGGGACTTCAACTCCCAGAATTCCCCATTGGGAAAGCCAGATTCACTTAATAACCGCGTGACTAACTTAACAACTGCAGTGATTCATTTAGCAACTGTGGCAAGAAAAATCATAAGATGGGGCAAAATTCCCTTGTCTCACTTAGCAGCAGAAATATTGGGCTTGATATTGGTCGTAAGTTGAGCACTACCTGTATACTGGCAGCGTTTCAGAAAACCTCCACTCCAACAAATAACATACATTTAATATAAATAATAATAAATAAAAAATAATTTAATAAATAATATACACTTTTGAGCCTGATCTAAAAGCCTGCTATATTATTATTTATCAATGTTAAAACTAGAAGAAAAAGAAAGAGAGAAAATAAAACAATAGAGACAAATATTTCATTTCTGCTTTCCCCTTTGTTGTCCTGCAGCCTGTTTGCAGAGCCTGGTTTAAATCTTTTGAGTTAATCCAAATTTGGCTAGGGCGTTTCTCCTTGAACTGCTGTGATGGCAGGGAGGTACAATCTCATCCCCAGGGCATGGAAGTATGACTTGTATTCCAATTCTGCTTCTGAAGCCTAATTTTGAACTCTGTGTAAATGCAAAACTATTAAGTACACAGAGAATAAGTATGAATCATCAACCTGTTTGAACATAAATTAAATTAGAATTGGGCCGTAGCCATTTTGGCATTTGTGTCGTCATCTCCCCAACCCCTCAAAAAAATAACATTCCAGCAATCGTCACCAGTCCAAACAAGTAAAATTCCAGAGTTATAAATACATTTTGGGTGGGGTGAGAGAGCCGTAGATTTGGAATCCAGCCTGAGGAGAAAGTCCTTTGATTTCACTTAAAGTTAGCGCTCAACTTACAACCTCCGTTGGAAGCAGAATTTCCTTGGCCAAGCAAAGCGATTGCTAAGCGAGACCCCTCCACCTCAATTTTATGACTATCTTTGCCACGGTTGTTAAGCAGATCAGTGCAGTTGGTAAGTGAATCACAGGGTCATCGAACAAATTTGGCTCCCTTTCTCCCACCCCTCCTCTTTTCTTCTCAGAAGGTCGCAAATGGCGATTACGTGACCACCGGACCGTTATAAGTATGAGTAAGTTGCCCCTTAAAATGGAAGATGAACAGATGAATGAAACAATGATAGTATGGGCAAAATAATTTGGATATACTATAGGATGAGATAAATGGCAAAAACTTTGAGACAGACATTACAAATTGACAATTCAATTCAATTGTCAATTTGTAATTTCTGTCCCAAAGTTTTTGCCATTTATCTCATCCTATAGTATATCTTTATTCTTTATTGTCATTGTATGTATGTACACAGTATACATACAATGAAAATCACATAACACCAAGACACACACACACACACACACACACGTGACAATCCCCAAATACCCACCCATCCTACCTGCCAAAGTTCCCTGCCCCCTAAAAAACACACAACAGACCAAGCAATGCTGTCCAATAGCTCACTGATGGTGAGCCTTAAGTTCATTGTTAAGTTCAATTATAGCTCTGGGATAAAAAGAACTTCAGAAAAAACGTGTGGTCCGAGTTTTAATTGTTCTGTGTCTTCTGCCAGAAGGCAACAGTTCACAAAGATTGTAAGCAGGATGGGAAGAGTCTCTGAGACTGTTTGTGCGACTTCCTCAAATAGCGAGATGTGATGATGTCATCCAGGGCTGGTAGTTGGAGTCCGATAATATTCTGGGAAGTTTTAATGATTCTCTGAAGAGCTTTTTTGACTGCTGCAGAGCTGCTCCCGTCCCATGCAAGGATGCCATATGTCAAGACACTCTCAGTGGTGCTGCGGTAGTAGGATAGAAGGAGATGCTGAGATAAATTGATCTTCCTGAGCATTTGCAGGAAGTACAGCCTCTTCTGTGCCTTGACAATGGCAACTACTTACAAGGAAAACCTGTACAAAATGTTTTACAGGTAGCATTTGCCACCAGTAAGGCTAGCAAAGATGTTTAAAAACAGGTCTGCCAAATGTCAGAAACGCAACATTTCCGGGTTCCTACTTCCATATGTGGTGGACATGCCCAAATGCAAAAAAGTGTTGGACGAAAATACAAACGTGGTTAGAGAAAATGTTAAAGCAACATATAGATTTAAAGCCAGAAATCTTTTTTGTTAGGTATACTACTACCAGAAAAAAAATATGATAAAGGGAACATATATTTAATATTACATGTCTTGACAGCAGTGAGAATTATTTATTGATTTGTTTGTTTGATTTATATTGCCACTTATTCGCCCATGGCGACTCATTGTTAAGTGCAATTATATTTGCACAACAACTGGGAAAAAGAGGAAACTCCTACAGAAGAAAATACAATTAAAAAAAAAATACTGGATGGTGCAGAAATGGATAGGTTGATATGAAAGAAAAAGGATAAAGAAGATATAGAACACTTTTTAACGTGAGATTTGTTTTATCGATGGTTAGACAATAGAGGTAGAAATTAGAAATTGGAAATTATGATTATGTATAAGTAAATTGATCCAGATAAAACACTGTTTATCAAGCACTTATGTATGCTAAAGAAAAACATATACATAAAATATAAAAAATAAACAAATGAGAGCCAGTCTGAATTTTGATCATGTGCCTACAGGAATACTGCCATGGTCGTAAGTGTGAAAAACAGTCATAAGTCACTTGTTTCAGTGTCGAGGGCTACCTGTAGCTTTAAAAAGTTGCAACGTCATTTGATTTCGACGGGCGCCCTTTTGTGTCTCTTCAGAGAACGGCTCCGCTCTTGTGGCAGACAGTTCCAAAGGAGAATCGCTCAACATGAAGAATGGGAACGCCGTGGTCCCGAAGAAGTTTGGCTCGGCTTGCCCGCCAGAAATCATGAATGGAGGGAGTGGGGTGGGCATGGTTGCCCCCGATCCCTCCCTTTTCAGTGTGCTCAAGAAGGTAAGAACCATTTGTTTTATCAATGGTTAGATAATCCTCATCCTCAACTCCATAATCCCTTGAGGGGTGGAGTCTGGGCAACTGAATGGAGCTAGCAGAGCATTTTACTGGCCGGATGCCTTTCCTATTTCCAGAGTGGAGTTTTGTTCGGCAGATATATTTGTCTACTCATTGTGCCCAGAGAAAGAAATATCTACCTAGGATTGAACTCACAGCCTTCTGATGGTGAGGCCAGAGTTCCCTGTCTAGGCCTCTGCACTACTCAAACCAATGGTTAGATAAAAAAAGTAGAAATTGGAAGTTGGAAGAATACTATTATATATAAGCAAAGAATATTATTATTATCGCTAATATGTGTATGTAAAATGACCCAGACAGTACACTGTTTATTAAATATCTATATATGTTAAAGAAAAATGTATAATTTTTATTTTTTTTAAAAAAAGAAGGTAAGAACCATTGCTTATAGAAAGCAGAAGTTCCTGTTTCAATTCCTGGTAAATAGGGGAAAAAAGAAAATGATTAGGCAACAGAAAAACCGCTCTTCTGCAAAAAATATTTTAGGAATGGGCCTCCTTGAGCAAGAAGACGTAATTGCTTATCTTTCCTTTCTTTTGAAAGGTTGATTTCAAAAAGCCTTCGCAGTTTGGGCTGCGTGAAGAGAGAGAAATAGCATCAGGATGACAGGAAGTGATATTAATGCTTAATACCACGTCCCTGAGGTCACATTTGAAAATAGTGCATCCATTTCTGCTCACCGTGATAGAAAAAAAAGGATATTCAGAACTTAGAAAGAGTGCAGAGAAGAGCAACAAAGATCATTAGGTGTCCCCAAAGAAGATACAGAATAGTTTTTTAACATGGGATTTGTTCTATCAATGGTTAGATTATAGAGATAGAAGTTAGAAGTGGAAAGATTATTAATATGTATAAATAAAATATATTGCTACTAACTATTACTATGTACTGTATAAGTAAATTGATCTAGGTAATACACTGCTTACTAAGCACCAATGTATGTTAAAGAAAAATGTATAAGTAATATTAAGTCCACCCATCTTAAAGCATAGTAGCTGAGGAATTCTGGGAATTAAAGTCCACCCATCTTAAAGCAGGCTGGCTGGGGGATTCTGGGAATTAAAGTCCACCCATCTTAAAGCAGGCTGGCTGGGGGATTCTGGGAGTGGAAGTCCACCCATCTTAAAGCAAGCTGGTTGAGGGATTCTGTGAGTTGAAGCTGTTAAACATGTTAAAGTCAACAAGGTTGAGAAATAGTGGTTTGGATTAAATGTTCCTTGGTCACATGTCTGCTATTTCCATCATTTTTTTGTTGGTTTCTGGCCTTTTTGGTGAGTTTCTGCCAAAAAAAATGCCCATTGGAATGAATGACTGCTACATTCATTGAACAGCTGCCGCAGAATAAGTCAGAAAGCTGGGTTGATCACATGGGTGCCTTCAAATTATGACTTTCATGCCTTATGATGGATACTCCAGGCTCCCTTCTGGTCATAATTCAAGGACTGCCTTTATACTGGGACTCAGTTGGCTCTCGAATCGTGCTCCACTTGATGCCGGTTGAAGGGAGACCACAGAGCGACCCAGATATTGAATGTGGTTTGTGTCACATCGCTTCTGCTTTCCCGCTTCAGATTTGGCTGCTGGCCCTGTCCATCGTGATGGACTTCTCCATTACCCTCTCGGTGTTTCCGGCCATTACCACGAGAATTGTCACCTCCTCTCAGGATCCGTCTTGGCGTGAGTGATGGGTCATTTAATTACAGGGCACGAAGGGGCAGGGCTGGTCGGCATTGGCTGGAGCTGGGGTTAGGGGGGATTTATGGAAGGGGGATCCACTCCTCAATGCCTCTCCAAGTTGAAAACCAGCTGATGGGAAAGAGCCAGCCAAGGGGAGGTCTTGAGCGTGGTGGTTTTCTTGCAGATGTTTCATGACCCAACTAAGTAACGTCATCCATCCTAGAAGGGAGTGGAGGAAGAAGAATATTGGTTCTTGGTGCTCTCTGAGCTCAGTTTTCTTGCAGATGTCAATATCAGTGCCGGAAGGGAGTGGGGTTTATAGAGAGGAGGAGGAGGATAACAGAATAACAAAGTTGGAAGGTCTGCTAGTCGAACCCTTGCTCAGACCCTATAACATTTGAGGCGAAGGGCTGTCCAATCTCTTCTTAAAAGCCTCCAGTGATGGAGCACCCATAATTTCTGGAGGCAAGCTGTTCCACTGCTCAGTTGTTCTAACTGTCAGGAAATTTCTCCTTACTCTGGGGTCCTGGGTGCTGTCTGAGCTGGGTTGTTTCCTTGCAGACCTTTCAGGACCCCACTAGGTAACATCATCAGCACCAATAGGAAGTGGGGTTTGCTTTTTTTAAAATATTCTAGTGGCTTTCCCTGTCAGCGTTGTTGAGGTCTTGGTGGTTCCTCGGTTGGGCTGTTTTCTGAAAGCGGTCTCTGTCTGGAACTCGGAGGGCTGAGTTAACTTGACTCAGGACACGGTCTAAACCAGGAATGGGTTTCAAAAATCCCAGCAACCGGTTCTCTGCTGAGTGGGCGTGGCCATGGTGGGTGTGGCCTACCGGAACGTCCGGTAGGGCCGTTTTCCACTTTCCCCAGAGTCCGGAGGCTTCCCTCGGGCCTCTGGGAGGGCAAAAACGGCCTGCGGAGGGCCTCCAGAAACAGGCCCGTTTCCAGACTTCCGGAACTTCCGGTTTGGCCCGTTTTTCGCACCTTCCCAGAGCCTCTGTGTGGGCCCTGCACTTCTGCCAGGTAGGGTGGGCAGTGCCAGCCGGTCGGTTCAACTATCAGTCCAGTGAACCAGGGGTCCCCAACCACCGGGCCGTGGACCGGTACCGGTCCGTGAAACATTTCCTACCGGGCCGCCGGTTTGCTGGGCGCCGCCATCTTGTTTGACGAGAAAGTGCTTCTGGATGAGCTTTTCCGGTTGGAAAGCAGCGTTTGGGTCCTGAAGGAATCATCGCGCCTTAGTTTCATCGAAGGGGGGGGGGGCGGCTTCGAACGAAACTAAGGCGCGAGGATTCTTTCAGCACCCAAGGCAAGGCGAGCCGAGCGACCGTCCCGAAGCCGTCCTGAAGCGAAGCCCATCGACAAAGGTACAAAGGAGGAGTTGAAGATGGCGGGGAGAAGCGGGGGACGGCTGGCTGGCCGGTCGCTTGGCTCGCCTTGCCTTGTCATGCGTGCTGATGCCAGTACCGGGCCGCGGATCATTTTGTGATGCCGGTACCGGGCCGCGGCACAAAAAAGGTTGGGGGCCACTGCAGTGAACCAAATGTAAATTTAACGTCTGGGTCGCTCAAACCGGGTTGAACCGGCTGAATCCCATCCCTGGGTCTTAACTCTTCTGTGGGTCTCCCCATCTTCTCTCCTCTCCCTTAGAGAAGTACTTCACTCCCGTTTGCTGCTTCCTTGTCTTCAACGTCATGGACTGGTTGGGGCGGAGTTCCACTTCCTACTTCCTCTGGGTGAGCAATTGGTGGCAGAAGTGGGACGTCAGCTCGTAAGGCATTCCTGGCCTGCTCTCGAGTCCAGGAGGGAGGGAGGGAGAACTGATGGAGCAGCTGTGACCAGAAGCACATTCCATGCATACCTTTCTCCAGATGGTATCGCAGGTTACCAGGGCCAGCCGAAAAGGCATGTTTTCCACAGCTCAGGAAAGTGCTTCTCGTTGGAGAATGTGATTTATGACACACCCTGGGAGGAGGGGGGAAAACAGGGTCATAGGTGAGCAGTAAATCACGTAGGGCAGAGCCTGACTGCTCTTGGGAAAAGTGCCGACACGTTGCTTCTAATAAATAATTGGATTTCTTTTGAAACTTGGCTCGAGGCTCATGAATTAATTAGATTAGATTAGATTGGATTCAAGTTTATTGTCATTGCCATAAATACAGGCAACAAAATACAGTTAGCATCCAACCAGAAGTGCAAAACAACAGTAAAATATAAATATATGTATGCAAATATGCAAGGCGCCTATGAATATGTCAGTGGAAAACACAACAAAATGTATGTACACGAGCACACAAGGATAAGTGACTGCACATATATGAACATATACAACTGTACAAAATGTTTATGGACACATTGAATATAAGTACAAATGCACAGAGAATTATACAAAACACATCATATATTATCAAGGGAAGCATCAGCATATGTGTGGGGACAAATGAACTGAGGAGTTCAGCAAGGAAACCGCTGTGTGGTAAAAGCTGTTCCCTAGCCTGCTGGTCTGCAGGCACCTGAACCTCCCTCCCAGATGTAAACAGTTTGTGGGCTGGATGGAAGGGGTCCTTCTGGATGCTGTGCACACATCATCGTTTCCTCCGAATGTCCACAATGGCAGGAAGTGGAATCCCTATAATGCGTTGGGCGGTTTTCACCGCCCTCTGTAATGCCTTTTTTTCTTTCATAGTGTGTCCTATAATTAGGGCGTCCATCGGAACCCTGACACGGAGGGGAAGATCAGACATCATGAATTGGGGTAGGGTGGGGAGATCAAGGGCAGCCCTACAGGTATTCCTCAACTTACAACTGTTTGTTTAGTGACCGTTCAAAGTGACAACAGCACTGAAACAAGTGACTTAGGAGTGTTTTTCACACTTACAACCATTTCAGCACCCCCATAGTCACATGATCAAAGTTCAGATGCTTGGCAACCTACCTCACAGGGTGGTTGCTGAGGGGAAAATAGGAGGAGGAAGCTGTGTCGGATATGTTTGCCGTCCTGAGTTTTTCGCAAAAATAATAAAGGTGGGATACAAATAAATAAATACGTGTTTTATTTACAAGTTCTGTTAAAACGTGGTTTTTCTCTCGCCAGCCGCAGAAGCACATTCGGCTCCTTCCCGCCGCAGTGGGACTCCGAGTCTTCCTCATCCCCTTGTTTCTCTTCTGCAACATCCAGAACCAGACCGGGTGGCTTGTGCTCTTCCGCCACGATGCCTGGTTTGTCTTCCTGATGGTGGTTTTTTCTCGCTCCAATGGATACTTCGTCTCCCTCACCATGTGCCTGGCCCCCAAGTGAGTAGGATAAGAGAGGTCCAACCTAAAACTAAAGAGAAATTTCCTGACAGTGAGAATAATTAACTCGGGAACTACTTGCCGCCAGAAGTTGTGGCTTTTAAAAAAAAGATTGAACAGCCATTTGTCTGGAATTGTACGGAGCAGTGTTTGTCAACCTTGGCAGCTTTCAGATGGTTGGACTTCAACTCCCAGAATTCCCCAGCCAGCAAGCTGGCTGAGGAACTCTGGGAGTTGAAGTCCAAGTTGCCAAGGTTGAAGACCCCTGCTCCAGAATGAGGTCCCGTCCCGTCCCCCCGAAGTTTTGCATGGCTCTGACCTCAAAGATGTCCCAGAAAACTTTAAAAACATGGCTTTTGGATGAGGTACAGAGGAGTCCCCAGTTGTGATGTTTTGTGTTTGCTTTGTTGTGATTACAGAGTAGTCCTTGACTTATAACAGCAGTTGGGATTGGGATTTCTGTCACTAAGCAATATGGTTAATATAAATATAAAGCTTAGTGTATTTCTTAGTGATGGCAGTCACTGCAGTTCCAGTTGCCTTTGTTAACCGAATCCCATGTTAGCGAGTTGATTTCTTGCTGGCTTCCCATGGTCAAGTCAATGGGGAAACCGGCAGGAAATGGCAAGTTCTAGGTCTGAGCTGCCTGGCATAAGAAAGAAAAAGATAGAAGGAAGAAAAAGATGGGGGGAGGGAAGGAAGGAAGAAAAAGATAGAGAAGGAAGAAAAAGATGGAGGGAGGGAAGGAAGGAAGGAAGAAAAAGGGAGGGGTGAAGGAAGGAAGAAAAAGGTAGGAAGGAAAAGAGGGAGGGACAGAGGAAAAGTTAGAGAAGAAGGAAAAAGGGAGGGAAGGAAGGAAGGAAGAAAAAGATAGAAGAAAGAAAAAGAGGGAGGGAAGGAAGGAAGAAAAAGGGATGGATGAAGGAAGAAAAAGATAGAAGAAAGAAAAAGGGAGGGAAGGAAGGAAGAAAAAGGGATGGATGAAGGAAGAAAAAGATAGAAGAAAGAAAAAGAGGGAGGGAAGGAAGGAAGAAAAAGGGATGGATGAAGGAAGTAAAAAAAAAGATAGAAGGAAGAAAAGGAGGGAAGGAAAGAAGGATTGACTGACTTCTATGACCTTCAGATTTGGACATTCATTCTCTCTTCCAGGCAGGTCCAGCCGGAAGAGAGTGAGCTGGCGGGGGCCATCATGACGTTTTTCCTGGCCTTGGGACTTTCCTGTGGGGCCGCCCTCTCCTTCCTCCTCAAATTGCTCCTTTGATGGCCTCCCTCCTACCCCTCCGACACCCGGCAACAGCATAAAGATTGCAAAGATTTTGACTCAGCATCTGTTGAAGGCTTCAAGGCCAACGATTTTCCTCCAAGGCCCCCTCTATTGTGGCAGCTAAAGAAACCTCCCTCTGTGATGAGGACACACTGAATTTATTGGGCCATAACCCTTTCTCCAAGGTCCCCCCCCCCACTTTTTACACACACACACACACACTTAACGAATGCAACGTTCTGCTTTTTCTGCAGACATCTGAATGTATTGGGAAAGATTCTGGATTTTTGCAGCTGGCATTTCTGCAAACTTTTGAGGTCACCTCATCAGGCAGCTCCTCCTGTGATGGAAAATGTGATTTTTTTCCCCCCTCTGCTCCATTTTTTTTTAAAAAAATCACTTATTATTTTGTGACGCACAATGGCTAGAGTTGGTTGAATAACATGGATGGAGGGCCTACGGAAGGGGGGCGGGAAATACTTTGGGATGTTTTTTAGTATCAAAGCAATCCACATTCTCTTTCCTCCCTTGTCGGGGTCATTTTGACACCCTGGAATGTATTGCCAAACCTTACAGGACTAGTAACTTGGATGACAAAAAGGGACCGAGTTGGGAAACAGCTCTCAACTTTTCCAGGAAGAAAGGGGAGAATTAATAATTGTGAGAACTCCTTAAATTAGTCTCAGACTGCTGGAGATCCGGAAGATATTAGATAATTCGGGGCAGAGCTAATTCTGCATGTACCGTTCTCCCAACATTGCAGACTGGGCTGAAACAAAGTTTGATAAAAAGGGTGAAAAAATGTCCTAGGTGAATCGAAAATAAAGAAAGAGGCTGCAAAATAAGTTGGAAAGGCATCTTGGGATAAAGAACAGGGTTGGATCCTGGGATAACGTTTCTGGGTTCAGGAGAGGGCTGTGCAGGGTTGCACTGATCCGGTTTCATTTGGCGTTTGAATAAAAATAGAACACAGATGGTGTTCACAAGTCTAAATGTAAACTGGTTAATCTGAATTAGAAAAGGAACTACCTCTCATTCATTCCGCTTAGCGAGATTGCTGCTTTTTTCAACTAAAGCTGGTTTTTTCTGGGAGGTGGGTGGGGGGGCGTTAAAGTGAGAAAAAACATCCATATATAGCCATACCTGTACTATATTATCAGGTCAAGGGAAGGTTTAAGTCAGGGGTGTCCAACCGTGGCAACTTTGAAGACCTGTGGACTTCAGCTCCCAGAATACTCCATGTTGGCTGAGAGGCATTCTGGGAGTTGAAGTCCACAGGTCTTTAAAGTTGCAAGATTGGACCAGTCCTGGTTTAAACGATAATTTCCTCCGGGAAAAATATACTGCCTAAATTTTTCCCTAGTAGCAGTTTGTGGTTAAGTTTAGATCAATCTTGTCTAAGTCCTTGTGTTTTAGATGTGTGGGAACTGCAACTCCCAGAATCCCCTTGTCCTTAGGCAGATTGGCTAAGAATTCTGGGAAGTACCGTCCCAACATGGCTGGAAAAGATCCCTTAGAGGAGGCAGTAGATTCCTTCACAGGGAAAGGTTGGGATCTTAGAGGTCTTTCAGATTTAGAACCATAGCCTCTTCATTGTCGTGATATTAAGTGTATCCTAATTCCTATTGTGGCCTAATAATGGTTGGATGGCTCCAAAAATGGCAAAAATCACAAACAGGGAAGTGACCTTTGTCTTTTCCCGTTTTGAACAGATCTAGTAAGTGAGCCAGTTTAAATCAGGACAAAAATGTAAAAGCTTGTGTCTGTGTTTTCAAAAGGGGAATCTTCCTTGCATGTACATTATATCGATTTTTATATATATATATAAAAATATAAGAATGAATATATAATATATTGCTGTTATCTCGGGGAGTGGATATGGAGGATGTATTGTGTGCTTTCTAATAAATTTTTTTTTGAAGTGTCTTGTTTTTATTAACACCCCAGAAAAATGAGGGTGAAGCATCTCCAATTGCAGAGATTAAAGAGATTGTCCCAAACAAGAATGGTTTGTCAAAATTGGTCTGGTGGTTGGGTACTTTTCTCAAAAAAATCCACAGAAACCAGCTACTGTACAGCTGAAAAATTACAGAAAGAACGTTGTGTGCCAGTAATACAAAGGATGTTGTGCAAACTTGGGAAACTGGGTTGTGTAAAGCCGTGGTTAATCGTGGATTTCTGAATAGAATCAGTGTCTTCCTCAACTTTGATCATCACTTGGAGAGCTATTTCCGCCAGAGAAAATGCTTTAAAATAATTTCCCCTCTCCAGTTGCGCAGCCTTAAGATTTGTCTGAAAAAGCAAATTGACCAATAAACAAAATATGGATGAAAAGGCTGGTTTGTTTTTAAGATTATGACACATCGTGCATCGTTTCTTCCACCGAATGTACAGTAGTTCAGTAAAATCTTCCCTGCACATAAAAGTTTGTAAATCTCCTTTTTAGGAGCTAAAAGACACTACCAGCATGAAATACATGCTGGTATCTATTTAGGATACTATGACTATCACTAAGTGTTGTGTCTTCTGATTTACGATGAATGTATTTTTATGATGACTATGATTGTGATTTATCACTTGTAGCTTTTATGTGCACTGAGAGCTTATAAACCGAAGACAAATTCCTTGGGTGTCCAATCACAATAAATCTGTTCTGTTCCATACTATTCTATTCTAATTCTGAATCCTGTTCTGTTCTATTCCTGTTCTACGTTCTGTTCTATTCTATTCCTCTATTTTCTATTCTATTCCTCTATTTCTATTCTCTATTCTATTCTCTATTCCTCTATTTCTATTCTCTATTCTATTCTCTATTCCTCTATTTCTATTCTCTATTCTATTCCTCTATTTCTATTCTCTATTCCTCTATTTCTATTCTCTATTC